TTATATTTCCGGATCCTGTTTAAAAAGCGCCGTGACTCATTAGCATCATATAAAAACAGAGTTTTCAAAGGTTCTTCTGGTTCCCCAAGTAACGGAAGAGACACTTTGCCATTGGAACAGCACATGCCTGCGGTCTCATCTTTCCATTTTAAAGCGCTGCAAAATCGACACGCCTTGTCCATTAGTCCGATAACAACTAACCTGTGATTTTTATAATCAATCAACGGATCATAATTGAATGCTGCGTCATTAATAAACCGACCAATTGTTTCTTTGAAAATTTTGTCGACGTTCAGCTTGGAGCTGTGCATTTGCATCTCTTCGTGCCTGTGTCTGTTCTGGTGTTTCAGATGCCCTTATAGTAGATTAATGTTCAGCTTGCTCAATGAGTCTGTTTTGAGTTTCATCAGGTATTTCCGCGGCTCTTAAGGCGGCCTGACGTTCCGCTTGTTCGAATAGCCTTTGCTGACTTTGAGCAGGTGTTTCAGTAGCTCTTAAAGTAGATTGACGCTCTGCCTGTTCAAGACGCTTTTGCTGACTTTGATCAGGTGTTTCAGTAGCTCTTAAAGTAACTTGACGTTCTGCCTGTTCAAGACGCCTTTGCTGAATTTGAGCAGGTGTTTCAGTAGCTCTGAAAGTAGCTTGACGCTCTGTCTGTTCAAGACGCCTTTGCTGACGTTGAGAAGGTGTCTCAGATGCTCTAAAAGCAGCCTGACGCTTTGCTTGTTCTTGCCTTCTCAGTTCAGCATCTTCTAAAGATTCTAGCGATCAAGCTAATCTTTTCGCTTGTCTTTGAGAAGATACTCTTGAAAGGCTGCACTTAAGTTTGCGAGGCATTATGAAGTAACAAAAAACCTATTTATAAAAAAACGTTAAAATACCTAAAAGGAATTAAATTTCCTTTTAAATAATTTTTTTAAAAGCAAATCCAAAATATATAAAAGGAATAAATATTCCTTTTAAATATTTTTTAAAATAAAAACAACAAAACCAATTCAAGACACAACACGAATCCAAAAACGATAGCCAAAAGAAATCGAATCAACTTAAACCAAATCACAAAACAAATCGCAGAAAACCGAAATCGAAAGCAGTAGTCAATATAAATATAGCCAACGAAAAAAGAAGTAAGTGTATAGGTACCGTATACACTATCTATACTATTAATATTCCTTTGAAATATTGTTAAACAACCTAAAACAACGAAAACCAATTCACGATTCTAAATAAACAAAATCCAAAATCAAAGCCAGAGTCTAAATATGTATAAAGGAAAGGAATACCAACCAAATCAACAAAACCGATCCAAGAAAATAAACAAATCCGAAAATGAAAGCCAATATAAATCCATTCAATCTTAACCAAATCACAAAGAAAATAACAAACAACCGAAATCGAAAGCAGGTAGTCGAATAAGCTACGAAATAGAAACAATTTAAGCGTATAGGTACCGTATGCACTATAAGTTGACGCGCGGCTCAACGGCGGGAGTTAAGTACATGTCAGGAAACATTTCGTTACCGCGTTTTAAAAACCTAGTAACGTCATCTAGCGGAATCAATTTAAACTATGTGTACGTTAGTTAATAAGAACTCTCAAAAAATATTTTTCTTATAATTTTGCACAGTTTTTCTTATTGTAATACCGATTCATTCATAACCACATATAAGAATATGTATAAGAACTGTATTCATTTCCGTTCAATAAATATTACTAAGGCTTATTAATAAGGCTTACTAAGAACTGTTTCTACCACAGTTAAGTAATAGTTAAGGGTGAAAGCGTGACAGGTGGTGATAGTATTTCTGATCCATACTTATAATCACGCCTGTAACCCTTGCGGGGTAGGCAGAGCATCAACGGATTACTTAATATCGTTTGCGAGGTTATCGCCTATTCTGTGAATTACAATGCACCAAAACGTTTGAAGAAAATCAGCTGGTGAATTTTATGTTTTTTATCGCTCTCTTCCCGGTCCTGCGTGGAAAAATACAGATCCATACATTTTTTATCTTAATTTTGGTAAAAAGACACAATAATCGAGATATTCTGACCTTCTGTGTTCGTCCATCGTACCGTCGTTCGTCTTGTAGGATCACGGTGGCGCCACCTAGCTGAATTTAATTTTGCAACATATTCGATTTTCCCACGGGAATGATATGTTTTTCCGCTGAAAAAAGTAGCCTATGTCACTCTACAGCCACCGAACTATCCCCATAACAAAATTCATGCCATGCCGACGCTCTGTTGTGACGTGAAAGAAGGACAAACAAGCAAACAAACACACTTTCGCATTTATAATATTATATATAAGTATGGATATACTCTAAATATATTTATATTTATATTTTACTAGCTGGCCAGGCAGACGTTGTTCTGCCCTTTCCGAAGACCATGTGTCCTAAAAAAATTCTTAAATTCGTAATAAAAAAATATTGAAGGTCATATCGGGATAAAAACTATCCTATCTCTCAAGTTGGACCAAACTGCACACAGTGTGCAAAATTTCATTGAAATCAGCTCAGTAGTTTGGGAGTTCATCGCGGACAAACAACGTGACACGTAATTTATATATATATATAAAGATTATTCTATTGTCCGTGTGTATGTGACTGAATTCCTCCTAAACGGCTGCACCAATTTTGATGAGATTTTGTTTGTGTGTGATTCAGTTGATTTGAGAAGGGTTTAGATTCACAATTGCACCCGATAGGTGGCGCTGTTGTCAAGATATAGAAATCACCCGTGCGAAGCCGGGGCGGATCGCTGGTAAATATATAATATTGAAGGCTCCCGTCACCAGTAGATCATTACATTATAACTACAAGGATAATTATTCAATAGTAGACGCAGGTATTTAAATAAAAAGTAAAAAGGGCAAGAAAAATAAATCATACATTGAATATACCAGCACCGAAAGCTCTACCCAGAATAAATAATGTGATGCCACATGCTTTAGTGGCATTCTCTCCACGAAGCTTTTGCTCTCCACGAACACTGAATGAAACCACATCCAAGATAGCAATCTATACATAATTCACCAAAAGGTATATATTCATAACTACCGATTATCATGGCTAAAAAACGAATGAATATACTTTTGGGATTGTATGTGGTTACTGGTTACTTTAGATTACTTGTCGTGCCTATTGCTACTGCCCCAGCAGTGGCAGACTAACGGACGGAATGTGTGTGTATTTTATATACATAATACGGGAAGCAAAAGTACTGGGTCCAGGCCAAAACATTCATGACCTTGCCTTATTGAATATTTAATACCTCTGGAAAATCACACTGTCCTGTTACTAATGAATCACACTTGACCGGGGACTATTGAGTGGCAACACAATCACGCGACACAACATTAGGCACGCTAATAAAGTTAAAAAGTTACAGTTATAGCCTAAATACATCCCACTGCTGGGCACAGGTCTCGTCTCATATCTGAGAGGGTTTTTGGGCAAGGAAATGTCGTTACGTAAATGCGTGTTGTCAAACTTGACATATTCGAAATATTTTTTTTAATTTTTTTTTCTCAGACATGCAGATTTCCTCACGATGTTTTCCTTCACCGCCGAGGAAGTGGTAAATCAGCACTTAAAATTGCAATTAATAATTTCATTGAAGCCGGCGGGGATCGAACATACAGCGAGCGCTCAGCCCCTAAGCTACCACGGCTCTGTTCATCGGCATCTATGTAATAAGATATTATAATTTATACTACTAGATGTATGTAGATGTAGTAGATGTATCTACCACGGGGAGTGATCTGAGGAATTGTTCGGATTAATCCCAGCCGCCAAATTTCACGACCGCACTTCGCGGCAAAATTCCCAATACCATCCACACCATCTGGATGCTTGGCGGTCCACCACTTTACGTTTCTATATAAATTATTATAATATATATTATATAAATTAATTCTCAACATTTTCCTCGATTTTTTTATTTTTTATACAGGCTTATTAATAAATTGTTTATAAAACTCCTCAATATAAAGTGTTAAATACGTTTAACCGAAAACGTACGCTTATGAAACGAAACGCACAGTCTTGAGCCACCTGCATCCATCGACTTCCTACATCATATCTTATCAGGTTGTCACTTTATCTAGTGGGGGGCCTACCTACATTGCGCTTACTGGTACGAAGTTGCCACTCCTATATAACCTTTCTTCCCCATCGGTTGTTATCGTGTCACTAAGTAATTAAAAGATCGAATGTTGGTTTTTGATATCCTAAAATTAAATATAAATAAAAAAAATCATGTTTTATTTAACTTTTATGTTTACTGTGCATTGTTATGTTTTTTAGCCATATTAAAGTCATGCGCAAGTCTCGTGCTGTCTTTATAAGTTAATGCCTGTGATACCACGAGACTTAACGACATCTTAAAAAATAATCTGTTAAGACCTTCAAAGTTTTTTTTTTCAAGTAATGGTGCTTCACTTTTCAGCCAACTTGCCTTTTCAAACAGTCTAACGCTAGAAAGCGTTGAAATAATAAATACAAATCGGTTAATTTCGTTCAACTGTAAATCTGTTTTTTTTTTTATAAATATATCGCCTAAGCCATTTATCAGTGGTCCATTATATCTCGAACTTTCGCAAAAACTAATTCACAATTATTTGGAAAACATGTGAGGGAGGCGGTTCATTGCAAAAAGTTTTGATGTTAAAGTCGAAGTGATGATCAAAGAGTATAATATAAGCCCTACGTTTTTGACATAGACTTGAATATACTGGCGTAAGTATAATATTCTAAGTCTATGATTTTTGGTGATGTTTCCATTGTTGACTTTATCAAGTAGACAGTAGATGAAAACAAAATTAACGTCAAAATCACAGATAATACAACCAATATTTCAAAATGTTTAGAAATGTGTCCACTAAACTAAATATAGGGTAAATGCTTAGAAATATAATAGTTTCTTCATAACGTAAATCCACATGAATATAACATGCTTTAGAAGTCGATAAGAATAAATAACACTTGAACATAATGTCGCTCTATAAAATTACTAGGCTTTTAGTCAGTACTTGTCAGTTCAAGCAGTATAATATATTTAAATTCACTTATTATAGCACATCAGATACTTGTGGTTCCAGTTTTAATAGTGATAACTCAGGGGAAGAACAAGGATCGAAACAAAACGCACCCACATTTTACGATGTAAGTTTCTTCTTCGAGTAAACAAGAAATATGAACGAAATAATAACACTCCACCTATACTGGAATCGTTCCAGATTACGTACGTCACTCATCTGCTCACAAGTTTGCTATCTTTATTAGGAAGCTTATGAAACAGAAAAGAAACGCTCCTCTAGTGCTAGTTAGGGAGATTACAATCTTGTCCTATTCAACGCTAACTTTTTGTTATCTCTATGAAATATATTATTTTATCTCTATGATAGGTATTCTCACGTATTCTCCCGCTCCTTTACCACAGAATACATGATAAATTAAAAATCAGGCTCGGATAGTTCGTTCAATTATCTACTTATTTTATTTAGATTATTATAATTATTATAATATATTTAATTAGATTACACCACGATCTCATAGAATACCAACGTAAAATAGCAGCTTAATACTCTTGCTTTAGTCTTCGGGGTGTCACCTGAATCTGCATTTTAATTCTATGGATAGTAAATGTCTATTGGTTACAAGCATACACTTACCATTAGGTCGACTGACTGTATGCACAATTATCATTCTTATTCTATAATAAAGATGGTTCACAACAGTTTAATTACGAGGATTAAATAGCAGACCGGAAAAGTAGACAGGAAATGACATTAGGCAACTTAGTCTAATCCTCAGTGTTCTACACCTTAGCATTTATATTATAAACTAAGTCAACAGGTCTATAACCACAACGTTCCTTACCATGACCGTAACCGTTTTGACACATGCAAAAACAATTTCTGTTTAAATTGCATGCAACGCAACGAAACGCAATGCAACAAAACCCACTAGACCGTTCAGTCATCCATCAATACTGTGCCTTGAGAATAATTGGTAAGTGCCGATAAGCTTCGTGCACGGCATGTGACGTTACTAAGCCGCTTTGTTCAGGCGACCAAACGCATTGAAGCCGCGTATGATGAATGTTGCCAAAAAAAAATAGTAATTATTATTGATAATTTTCTAAAAGTCATCGTATGAGTTATTACATATAAATTATTTGCACGCCAACTTTCTTAGTTCCTTGTGACCCGTCCTTCGGAACGAAATGAGCTACGACCGATAAAACGAGCTCGTACTCGTGTGTAGTTTGCACATTGAATAGCGATGGTACGTTAACAACACGTTCATGGTCTGAGCTACAAACATATATCAGTCGTTGTTGTGGACAGACCTTAAGGTCTAAGTAGAAAGCGTTCGGTGGTGTATGTGACGCAGCAGTGCATTGGGCATATATGAGTACATATGACCCGCGGCTATCACTGAGTTCACGGTAAGGGTGCTTTCAGCGTGTGTTTGTCTCGCGCCGATAGGCCAGCATACTCGTATAGTCTTTTTTTTTAAATAAATCTGATGTGACAAATGAACTTACTTATGATAGTAAGTGGCTACAGCGTTTCATAGAAAATCTGCAACCGAATTCAAGCAAAGAAGGTTACAGATTAGTTGTCAGCAGTGAGGACTAAGATGGATGTGAATCCGGTGAATCCGGCACAACTGTTAGCACTATAAGTTCCTACCAGGTGAACTTTTATACAGGATAGGATTCCTATCACGAAGTAAATTAGGATATAGATACACAATAAAAAACCGGCCAAGTACGAGTCGGACTCGCGCACCGAGGGTTCCGAACAAATCCGTAGATATATAAGATTAAAATTATTAAAAATATTTTTATTTTATGATGTAACTAAAAATTTATGCTTTTCGCAATTTTTCCTTTATCTGTGCTATAATACGTTGCTTCGTACCAAATTTTAAGATTTTGAGTTCACGGGAAGTACACTGTAGGTTTTGATTCCCCTGCGAATGTCGAAAATTTGCGGCACAAACGGCTGTATCTTTTGATTGCGTTGGCTTAGAAGTTTGATTTTATCACAGCTCCAAGGGACAGTAGACTCTCAAGTCAAGTATTTGATATAAATTTCAGCTTGATACCTCCACGCGTTTCTGAGAAAAAGGGTCTTGACAGACAGACAGACAGACGGACAACAAAGTGATCCTATAAGGGTTCCGTTTTTTACTTTTGAGATACGGAACCCTAAAAATGAGATTTTAAGTAATAAGATAATAAGATTTTGATTACATGTGTTAGCAATTAATATAATTTGATAATGGTAACTACGTTTTTCTCTTTAGTGTCGAAAATACGGACACAATTTGCCATCCAATAAAGTGACCCCTGAATTCGATACGCTTCCTGACATACCGACGGGTATCTTCAGATGTACTACTGGCGAGGTTTGTTAGCTTGTTCATTGTTAATAATATGGGTAATAATACACAGTGTCAACTTAGAAGAGGGATGTACGAGTAAATCATATTCTAAAAACAGCTGTACTCGTATTATCTCTATTATAATAAGTCCCAGTTTTAAACATTCTCTTGAGGTTTTTTATACTAAACGTTAGTATTTGCAGAACACTTCTAAAACAACGACGAAAAAACAACGAAAGATAGCTCGGTAGCGTAGTGGAAGCACTGGGGTGTGCACGGTTTGAATCTCGCACGGAACAAGTGTATTTGTTTAAACTACAAATAATTTCTTTTCTTTTTTTTTCTTTTTTTAAAAACGTTACCCCCACACTAGGATTTTCTCCTGTGTCGTGGAGGTCCTTGTGCAATTTATGTTTGTAATGTGCAATTTATGTTTGTAAACTACAAACATAAATTGCACAAGGACAAACATCCAGACCCGGAACAATTATTTGTAGGCCATACAAATACTTGTTCCGTGCGGGATTCGAACCCGCGGCCCCCAGCGCAACAACTGATTGCTAAGCCACTGCGCCACGGAGCCGTCAAATTGTTCTGGATCTGGATGTTTGTCCATGTGCTATTAATGTATGTAAACCTCCACAATACTGGAGGTAATCTTAGTGTTTATTTGACTTATTTTTAAAGAACAAATAAAATTTTCTTGGTATATTTTCAGGTACTGGGTTCGGGTGTAGCTGATGGTACATGCTATCAAAATCCAGAATATTTCTCATTTCATCATATGACTTACTATGATATGCATATGGCTTTAAGACCGTATCGCAACCCAAGTCCTAAGACGGGGCGGAAAAAATAATGACAATGACAAATATTAAGAGGATATCCTTGCGCCGTTAAGGTCATAGAAATAGATGTTTTTTATATAATATGGATTATAAATAATACTTATTGAATATCATTCTTGTTATTACCACTAGTTTGGAAAATATCTCTGTCCTGGAAAGAACCAGGCAGAAACCCAGCAGGAGGTGTTTTGAGAAAAGATCAGTTTACAATCATATATTAATATTACAGAACTAACTATACAAAACAAATTAGAAATATCTTGGTAGTGATAAGCTCATTCCCAGGGTATCATCCAAAAAATCCTCAACATTATAATAACCCTTTTTATACAATATCTGTTATTAAAGTTTTTTAACTAGGCGGTGGGTTTCCTATTCACTTAATATAATATGTTTATTCCTACCGACAATATTTCACGCGTCTATAACATAAAATTATAAGTAATTTTTTTATTTAATATTTTTAAATGTTTAGTGAAAGGTTATAATTGATAAATTTTATTGGAATTATACTATTAAAATTTTTAATGATTCCAGATTCCTTAATGATTCAAGATTCCAGAATAAACACAAATGAATTTTCTAAATATACTTATAATTGGATTAACAGTCAGGATATAAAACGACGATCGGAACGAATTGTCTGTGTAAATAGTAGATACAATTATTAAATGACTTACTTTTTTGTTGGCTTTTGAAATTGCAAGACCTATCTAATTTTTATATTGTATTATTTATAATATAATATTTTAATGATTTACCCATGTGCTTAGGTTGAACTCTTAAAAAATTATAAATTAAATTATTATTACTGAAATTTCCAACAGTTTGTATCCTCATATTAGTTTTATAATTGCCACAAATTGTTTCAATTACATAATAATAATTGAATTATGTACTATGAAAAATTTAAATTATGTATTTTGTGTGCACAGTTTGTTAATTTGTATTTGTTTAGAAATTGAAAATTTAATATTTACTTTTTGGTTTTGATATATATATTATATAATGTTCAATACTGAATTTTATTTAATATTTTACCTTTCCTTACATGCCTCTACGTCGCCTATGTTAGCCGGTTGACGAAGATTACTTGAAATGACTCGACTGTGAATAAAATACCTATGGTATATTTAACGCGGTAGAGCCACACTGCAGCTATATTATGGTTGCAGCGCAAACAGGTCAGTTCGACCGGGAATCCTCCTCAGTCGGACTGACCAGAGATATAAACACAAGGGGCGTGGAACACCTAGTAACACGGCATACTATCTTAATCCATAAGGCTGATAACGCATCGACATATTGAGGCCTATCGACCAAAATGTTCTGTGCGGACTATGTGCCTATTTGCACCACTTGTTCTACAACGTTTATTAAGTTTTTTTTTTTATATACACGAAGTTGCGGGAAAAGTAAGTAAAATTGTAGTATAAAAGATATTACAATAAACAATATCTTTATGCCAGGGTCACTTTTAAGTCCTGAACTTAGTACAATGCAAGTAGGTCCCTTGTTAGTGGCCTTATCTTTAAATATCAATTCCACTCAATCAAGTTTGCGACAGTCGTGGTTGGATCACGACTAGTATTGAAGTTACTTGCGGTTGGCTTTGTGTGTTATATGTTGAAATATTTTAATTCTAGTGACTTTAACCGAATATTAAATTATGTAAATAACATATCTATTTTTTGTATTATAAAAAATGTGCTTATGATGTGGTGAAGCAAGTCTTTGGTAAACAAAGTTTATTCAACACAGGGATTAAAAAATACAATAATCTAGCTTTTGCTAAGGACCGATGTGAAAATCATGAAGACGATTTTATTGTATAGAATAGCTGTGACAAATGAGCACACAGTCCACCTGATAGTAAGTAGATGGTGTGGCCCATAGACATCTACATTTACCTTTGATTAAGAATCAAAATGCAAAAGCGTTGTCACCCCTGAGGACTAACATGGAATGCCTCGTTTCCAGAAAAAGTATCTCCGGTTCTCTGCACTCACCATATGAAACACAACAGCGTGGAGATGTTATTTTACGCTGGTATTCTCTGAGAGCGTGGTCCTAACCCGGTCGAGCCGACCCATTCATGCTACAACCATAATATAGATGCAGCGTGGTTTAGAAGATATATACTATATACCACGTATAAAGATATGTATTGTTTTAACGGAACAGATTTTTACTATAGAATAATGAGTGAAAAACAAACATATTCCACGTAATGGTATGTAGATGCTGTTCGGAAAGAAAAACCTCTGTCTTGCGAAGAACCAGCAAGAAACCCAGCGTAACTTTCATCATGTACGAGTATGTTACACAATTAGGAACACAAAACAAATTAGAAATAGCTTGGTAGCGATCACCTCATTCCCAGGGGTAATTATCATCCATAAATTCCATAATATTATAATAAGCCTTTTTATCCAAACGTATTTTAATAAAATTTTTGAACTTTGAGTAGGTCTATTTTTCTGGAATTTTGTTGTAAAAGTGTATACATCGCCCATTAATTGGGCCCAATGTCCCCCCCCCTAGCGAAATGCAGAAGTAAACTTCTACTTCACTTCTATTCTGTGAAGTCGTAGTACAACCCCGGTTCGAGCATACCCATCCGTGCGACAGCAAGAGCTGCCGCGTGGCTCTACCACTGTTGCATCTGTTTTCGCCTTCAACGAATTAGGTATAACAGGGAATATTTTTACGCATCATCAATCAAATAAGGCCTTAAATAATAGGGTAACAATTTTCTTTCATTAAAAATATAACAATATGCTTCTTTTATAGAGTTTTCAAGACTGTTATTATTTATAAAGAATGCAATACTAATTCTGACGCCACAGTAATCACAATAATAAATCCCGAGGCGCGTCTAATATATAAAAAATAATTTTTTTTTGTTTTTATTTTATGCGTTGCCATATTGTTCATCAGATTGCGATAATCATCATCATCATTATCATTACAGCCCTTCAGAAGTCCACTGCTGAACATAGGCCTCCCCCAAAGAATGCCACAAAGCACGGTCCTGAGCCACCTGCATCCATCGACTTCCTGCATTCTATTCATATCATTCCTGCTTACCAGGTCGTCACTCCATCTAGTGGGGGGACGCCCTACACTTCGCCTGCCGGTACGAGGCTGCCACTCGAGAACCTTTCTTCCCCATCGTTTGTCGGTTCTTCGAGCTATATGGCCGGCCCATTGCCACTTCAGCTTACTAATCCGTTGGGCTATGTCGGTCACTCTAGTTCTACTGCGGATATCCTCATTTCTGAGTTTATCACGCAGAGAAACTCCGAGCATAGCCCAACTCGCTGAGCGACCTTGAGCTTCCTCATCCGGCCAGCAGTGAAGGACCACGTCTCAGTTCCGTATGTCATCACTGGCAACACGCACTGGGTGTACAGTCTCGTTTTCAAGTTTTGAGGTATACCTGACGAGAAGATGTGCCGTAATTTCCCGAACGCTGCCCAACCGAGTTGAATCCGTCGATTGACCTCTCGGTCGAAGTTGGACTTACCTAATCGGACTATTTGTCCCAGGTAAACATACTCGTCAACAACTTCGAGCTTAGTGTTCCCAACAACTACCGGCATAGGTGTGACATGGACATTAAACATGATCTTTGTTTTGTCCATGTTCATCTTAAGACCTATCCGTTGGGAAACACTATTGAGGTCATTGAGCATAGTGCTTAGGTCCTCCAGCGATTCTGCCATAAGGACTATATCGTCGGCAAATCGAAGGTGAGTGATGTACTCGCCATTGATGTTGATACCGTATCCTTTCCAGTCCAGAAGCTTGAAAACATCTTCCAATGCAGCGGTAAAGAGTTTCGGGGATATGACGTCACCCTGTCTTACACCTCTCTGCAATTGGATAGGTTTCGTACTCTGGTTCTGTACTCGGATAGCCATCGTAGCCCTACTGTACAAGCACTTCAACACTTCGATATACCGACAGTCAACTTGGCATCGCTGAAGGGACTGCAGCACCGCCCAAATTTCGACGGAATCAAAGGCTTTCTCATAGTCCACATACGCCAGACATAGTGGCAAATTGTACTCCTCAGACTTCTGTACAATTTGCCGAAGGGTATGTATGTGGTCTATGGTGCTAAAGCCTTTTCGGAAACCGGCTTGTTCGGGAGGCTGGAAGTCGTCAAGTCTGCGCGCGAGACGATTCGTAATGACTCTCGAAAACAGCACGTAGACGCGGCTCAGAAGGGATATCGGTCTGTAGTTCTTCAAGAGAGCGTTGTCGCCTTTCTTGAAGAACAAGACCACCGCACTTCTGCTCCACGCCTCCGGTGTAATGCCACCATGGAGGACGGAATTAAAGAGCTTCTGAAGGACTTCAAGTACCGGTTTTCCACCCGCTTTCAGAAGCTCCGCTGTAATTCCATCCTCGCCTGGGGCCTTGCCGTTTTTAAGGTGCTGGAGAGCCATTCTAATCTCGCTCAGACTGACGTCCGGGATATCATCGGAATAATGTCGGATAAGACTCGCTCTTGGATCGTTATTCACACTTGCGTACGGCTCCAACGATGACGTGTACAGCTGCCCATAGAACCTCTCAATCTCACTCAAAATCTCAGGTGTCCCGGAAACGATGCTGCCACATTCTGTCTTCAGCTTTGACAGTTGGCGCTTTCTGGCAGACAGATCTCTGGCAAAGACTTTGGAGCCTTGATTCCGCTCGATCGCTTCTTCAATACGAGCTGTATTGAAGTTGCGTAAGTCCCGCCGTATGCATTTGGAGATCTGTCTGTTCAGTTGCCTGTATGCTGTCAAATCTGTTGAAGAATGTAGCTTCATCTCCCGTCTAACAGCCATGAGATTGAGAGTGTGATCGGAGAGTTTTTGTGTTCTTCTGCGGCGGGTCTTGCAGAACTTAGCTCCGACCGCATGGACAGTTTCCACGAGCTTGTCATTCAAATCGTCCACTTCATTGCAGTCTTCTAGGCACTGAAAACGGTTTTGTAACTCGAGCTGAAAGGTTT